GGGGGGGGGGGGGGGAGAGAAAAAAAGGAAAGAAGGGAAAAGAAGAATGGAAGGAACTGATTATTATCGCGGTACCATCGCGAACGGTTACGTCGTTTCTCCTTTTACGGGCGATGTAACGACGCGGATTGATTTCTCTGAAGCAATCATCGATGATCATATAACATTTGCAAAAATCGCGGAGCGCCTTGTCAACGGTGGCTCGCCAGGAGCGTGGCATTAAACCGCCTTACGACTGGTTCATTATATAAAACGCCGTAACCTCAGACATTGCTTTCCAGTCGAGCTGCGAGATATCATTGGCGCGTAATCACGCGCTTCCATTCGGAACCGAACGGCTGTGCGCGCGCGCGCGAGATCACTGTACTTAAGCGTTCCTCTTTCCGATCGATCAATTGAAAGCCGCCCGTCACGGAACATCCTTCCCGCCCGGTAGGCAGGCAGCCAGCCAGACAGGCTTGCTAAATCGTGATTTCGTATCGACACCGGCTATCAAAAGCGGCACCGATGTTTACTCGCCATCACGGCATACAAATCGACGTTATCGGGCGCGTCGTCATCGCTTTCGAAATCGTCAGTATTTAAAGACAGTTCTTGAAATGTCAAGATTCGTCTTATATATATTATATTATTATGTATAATATTATATATTCAGGTGTGTAAATTAATTCGGTGCCCTTAGTCTTTCCCATTTTTAATCGGCATTTTAGATTTAATATATTTGCCGCTCATTTATGGTTTTCTAGAGCTACCGTGTCTATATTTGTGAAATATTACGTAACATTGATCAGTATGATTTCAGAAAATAGTAGTGAACACAGTATTGCTATCGACAAAACGCATATTCGACATTGCATTTTTTTTTTGCATTTTACCTGCAACAGAATGCTACTAAAGCCACAAAAACGATTTGTTCGGCCAAAACACAATGAGTCATATAACTTGTAAAAGAACGGTATCAGGTTTAAAAAAAATTTCAAAAAGGCCTGCTCCACGATAACGTTCGACCATACGTGACTTTTACGCGACAAGAGGAACGAAAAACACCGTTTTTAATAAAGGCTGGGAAGTTGTACCGCACTCGTCATGCCTCTTCAGATTTTTATTTATCTCAGTCGTTATAACGATATTTAACTGACACATACTTTAAAACAATAGAGGATGCTCGGAAACCTGTCGATGACTTTATTGATTCTAAACCGCCATGTTTCTATCGCGATGAAATTCAACAGCTGCCCGATAGACGGTGTGCAAGGTCATCGATAGTGACGGAGATTATTTCGATAATTAAAATTGCACGTCTCCCATTGATAAATAAATCGGAATTTTTGGTAACGAAAGCACCGAATTAATCTCTCACACACACACACACACACACACACACACACACACACACACACACACACACACACACACACACACACACACACACACACACACACACACACACACACACACACACACACACACACACACACACACACACACACACACACACACACACACACACACACACACACACACACACACACACACACACACACACACACACACACACACACACACACACACACACACACACACA